CACGTAAAATTCAATGACAAAGTTCAAAAAAAAAAAAATTATAATAATAAATAACCAAATAAATTCCTAGATATCCTACACACCCAACGACCCTTCTCAAAAATATGCTCATATCTTTTTCATTGAAGGAATTGTCTCTTTATTGAAGAGCCAAAGTTCGAAATTATATAYTCATGAAGGTTAGTTTTGTAATGGTAGGCAGATTGACCTTGAGATGTCTTAATTGAAGGCTTTAATATTCAAATCTATGAGTAAAATAGTTTGAAAGCTGATTTAATTTCTAGTTGTGTCGTTTTGTGAATTAAAATTATTAAATTTTCATTTRAAMAAATTTGACCCGGACTGGTCCGGACGCACCTATATATATTTTATTTTTGATTTTTTCATACAAAGTTTGTTTATGCTTGTAAAAAGTTTTATTTCCAAATGTTAATTAGTGTGTGTTTGGCAACCGTTTTGAACGACGCGAAAAGTTCAACAATCAGTTTGCTTGAAATTTTGTGTGTTCCAATAAAATCACGGCTGTAAAATTGTTGAAAATGTTGCACATGCRTTTTGGTAGTCTACTTCATCACGAATACATGTAAGGGATGATCCATTTCGCGGTTCCCTACTTCTWWAAAGAAATAACACAGAAATTTCAGATGTAATGGGGAATGATCATTATTGTTCGAAAGAACATTCTTTGCCATTATTTCTTGAAGACTATCTCTTTCAAATGTTGACCGCGGCTACTGCTCAGATGGTCCATCCATTGAGTACAATTTTCTATAACTCGTTCGTGCATTTCGACTGGTAACTGCCGAATGAGACGTGTGAAGTTTTTTTTCCAAGGCCTGAATAGTGCCTGAAGCGGGATTGTTCGCATAAACTTTAAACTTTACATATATCCAGAGGAAAAAGTCTAACGGTCTGATATCACACGATCTTTGCGGCCAATCGACCGGCACAAAACGATAACTTATATGCTCACCGAAGGGTTTTTTCAATAAATCCATTGATTGATGCGATGTGAGGGAAGTTGAGCCGTCTTGTTGAAACCAAATGTCGAAGAGATCGCGAACTTCAATTTCATACCACAACTAGTCGGTTATCATGGCCGTTACATCTTACTAACTGTTTGAAGAAATATGGACCGATGATTCCACCGGTCTATAAACTACACTAAACCGTTATTTTATCTGAATGAAATGGCAGCTCTTAAATCTCTTCAGATTGCGGCAATTTTGCTTGTTTACAGACCGACTGAGCGAGAATCTTCTTGAAACTTTTCAGATCCCATAGAGCGAACGGTGTCACTTTCGAAGGTACGCTTTGAATTTAAAATTTCGTCGTAAAATGCTTCAAGTCGTTGCATACGTCAGTCGGATTTGTTGCGAACGGAGTCGAATCGATTCTCCGCGGTCTTCGTGTACACTCACAGCTACGGCTGCTAYATTTTMTTCAYGGTCAATRAAGAGTAYAACTWGACTTTTTTGAAGCAATTCGTCGTGAACGACCGGAAGTGAAGTGCGCCCTTATATTCTAGCATCACAATCGTGACGGACTTTTTGGGGAAATCTGAAGCGAGGGTTCTAGATTAGCTACTGTGTTCGTCTCACTTTGGCACCTTGTGATTTTTTTCTTTTTTTTTTTAACTGAAAAATTTACTTCGGCGAACGCGTCATGGGTTCAACAGAATAAAAAGTATGTACTTATGATGAATCTCATTGGAAGAGTTTGGAGCACTTCACATTGAAATCACTTTTGTGTGCATGAAAGTCAGATATATGCGTATTTTMCTACTAGCTTGGCTGTGCTTCTCTGGCTATTTGTGGCCTGCATCTTGATAAGTCTTAAGAGACAAATTAAAATGCAGTATCTCTACAAATATAAATAAATTGTATGCAAAACATTTCGATCACAGGAAAACATTGTTTCTGCTCTAAGCATTTTGCTCTGAAAGGGCTTTCATGCATTAMTCTCCGACCTACCGGTGGCCACAAGCACAACAAACGCTTCTAACAAACGCAAGTACTTTCACACTTATTTACATATGTAAGCGGCATTCAATTGAAGTAAGTTTATATTTATACAATTTTATAATCAACTAAAGTGCTTCGCATCGTTATTATTATTGTCTTGCAATAGCATTTATACAAAATTGCAAGAAAATATTGGTTTTCTACTCACATTTTTAGCCTAAGGTGCTGAATTGAATTCAATAACTCAACTTCCCTTCACACCGGATATCGTTACATTACACTCAGTCGGATGTAGAATATAAACAGTAAAACTTAACGTGGAAAATATTATGATTATGCTACACAGATGACCGAATGCAACTGAATTTACAATAAAATTCACAACCTGATGGGCATGCGAAGAGAGCAAGCGCTTGCAAACGGCACTTACTATTTGCGGAAAAGTCGACAAAGTGGAAAACGCCCGCAAGCCGCAAAACTCATTAGCAAAATTATTTTCGATAGAAATTTCGTCCAACCTTAACCATGGACAGAGGTGGCGCAGGTAGCCGGTGACTACTGCGTTCGCAATTTCATGCACACATATACATACATTGTATATATGTACATATATGTTTGGATGTGTGCATCCATAAATATCTACACCTGCAGTGGAGTATGTGGTTGGCCGAAAGCGTTGCAGCACCCCGAAAACCACAATTAAATCAATGCAACCACATTTTGTTGCGGGTCTCCTCTGCTGCTGAATGAATAAGTATTTAATATTTCTGGCGGTTGTTTTAATAAATGAAATACGTATACTCGTATGAGTAATTTTTTTCTATATGTGTGCAAGGTAGGTGAGCGCCAAAAGCCAAMAAACAAAAGTTCGCATATCTGATTGATTTTTTTGAATTAGTCATAAAGGGTTTTTTAACAGGGAAGCTACAAAAGTAGACCAACAGGAACAGCAAATGACGCCATATTTTTTTCGCTCTTTTGACATTTCTCTTCAGTAAGGTTTGACATTTCGTCATGAAAAGATGTATGGTCCAACAACGAGTCGAAATTATTTAAGTTTACTACTGAAATTCGGAGTCAGTGGACTCAACTTTAAGAGCGCTATTATTTGAGGAGTTCGGCATCTCTGTGAGGTCGTTTTGGCGAATATTTCGAAAAGTTCATCACCTAAATCCTTACAAAATCAAATTAACGCTTAAGAACTGAAGCCGTTTGACCACCAGAATTGTCGCATGTTTGTGTATAGGGCTGAGCAAAAACTTCGCATTTCAACTCGTGTCGTCATATCAGTTTTCGGTGATGCATACAACCTATTGGTTGAACATCTTGCAAGAGTATAAGAATCATCAGAATTTATTCACTTCCGCGAATTTTCGGTTGGAACTACCAATCGTCGAGTTCTATTCGGTAATTCGTTACATTTCATCGTCACAGCACTCTTCAAAGGATGAGTGCTTTGTAAATCGAAAATACGCTTGAAGTTCTAACTAAAAAATTAAGTATAAGGTCTAGTAAAAATAAATAAATTATTTTTGGAACAAAGTTTAGTAGTTAAAATGATCCGATTTAAGTCAACAACAAAACGGGCACGTTCGATAACTTGTGGTCTTTTTGGAGATAATTTCTGAATTTCTCGAATCTATTGACGAAAAACTGGACAAGCTTCGTTTGAGTCGATTTTCTCACCAATAAAATCAGGCACAGGCAACAATCACTTGGTGTTARGACCGGAGAAAAATGTTAATGTAGAAGAAGCTTCCACTCAAACATTTGGAATGACGCTAACGATGTGCATTGYCTGGCGCGGTCCTGCTGGAATACAAGTCCTCTCCCATTGGCCGAAGCTAACTGCTACGGAAGGATTGCTTCCTTCAGACGGTCTTTTTATGGACAATACAGCACTGATTTAAGAGTTTAGCCGTAGGGAAGCTGCTCATAGTAGATGATTAGATGATTTCTTGTTGCAGGTTGGACGTGTGCTCAAATAATACTGAGTCAAGCAATCAAAAAACTGTGTAAAAGGTTTGGTTAGTACCAAATTCTATCTTTCTAACGAAATATAACGTAACGCGCTTGCACTTGTACAACGCGCGATACAGATTACTAAAGCCATCTATTCGAAAAATAATGGACTTTTTTTACTACACCTTATATACAATTTTTTCGGAGAATATAATACCAACATATTGAATGCATCACCAACCATACATGAACACACCTACACAGTTGTATAATATTTTGAAAATACGCTAACTTGTCTGCCATAAAAATGGAATGTCTGACAATTCTTGTAAGCCTCACAAGAGTGGGTGGTAAGCTGTCTGTAAGGAATCCAAATGTGTGGCTTTGCAAGTGATTTACGCTTATTAAAAACATTAAAAACATTTCAAACCACTTCGAATTGCTGCAGAGCCTAAGAAATGTGTCTTCGTATGGTTGTCTGTATGTAACTTGCAAACATATGTGGTATATATGTGTGAACGAATGTGATGCGTGAGCTATAAATGTGAAAGTGGCGACTTCCTTTGTAGATTTCTCGAGTGCTTTAGAAAATGCTACACAATTTTTGTTGTTTCTAAAGCATTTTGGTATGAAGTGAATACGAAATGAGGCGAATGACAGTCATAAATATACATATTTTAATAAATAACATAAACATGGCACAAAACAAAGTCCAAGCGGCGACAAGACGGTTTAGAAAAAATACTTCCTGTGTTCTATTTGAAAAAAGTTGTACTTACAAAACTCATGAAATTGGCGTATTTACTAAGGGTTATTGAAGCGTTTGATATATTACAGCCGGGTTAGAAGAGCCATTTGAGAGAAGCCTGTGCGGCAATTCTATGCGCTATTTCAGCTAAAAGGCATCACTAAAAATAATTAKAATAAATTTGCAACTAAAGCTGACTTCCATTTTGGTTAGCTTGTTGGTTTATTTAGCATTAATTGATTTTTTGCTTTTTGCTTTAACACTATATATCCATTACGTTTTTCACTTTCCATTTCACAACTCACACTGCCTGCACAAACACTCACCGTTTTTCTTGCTGGGCTCACGTTTGATTGACGGTGCTTTACGCAACTGTTTAGTTTTGAATTCGGGTTTTGGCTCTTCTTTCGGCTCTTTGAGTATTTYGTCGATTTTGTTCACCTTTTTCAAAACGGGCCGTATTTTCATAATATCCTCGGTACTCTTGCTTGGCAAGGGTTTCTCTTCGCGTTTAACGTGTCTCAATTTAGGTTTCTCTAATTTGAAACGCAATTGACGTTCACGTTCTTCTTCTTCGTCCTCGTCATTGTCGCTATCACCTTCAACTTTTTTCATGGACTTGTCACGCTTGACCAAGACCGGTCGTAATTTTGGTTTTTCAATTGAGAAGCGTCTTGATAACTCACTTTCATTCTCCTTCTTTTTGACTTGTGGTGTCTTCTTTAGTTTCACGCCCAACCGCAACGATGGTTGTGTAAAYTCGTTTTCGGAAAACTCTAAATCGGACAGTCCTTCGAGATCGTCCACTTCTATGTCATCTGCCACCTCSTCACTTTCCTCGTCTTCTTCCTCACTCTCCTCTTCCTCAGTCTCTTCTTCTTCCTCTTCTTCTTCAGTCTCCTCTTCTTCCGATGACGATGGTGTTGGTTCCTTCTTCTTTACCGTTGCTGCCGCTGATTTTGTTGCCGTTGTGGTTGCTGGCTTCTTGGCTACGACAGGCTCTGGCGCCTTCTTAACGGGTGCAACTACTTTCTTAGCGGGTTCTACTACACGTTTGACTGGCTCAATCACTTTTTTCGCTGGCTCAGCGTTCTTTTTCAACGGCTCCACTGCTGCTTTCTTGACGGGCTCAACAGTCTTTTTGGCCGACGCMACTGTTTCATTAACTTTTTTTACTGGTGTCGTTGTCTTCTTGGCCGCCAACGTAGTTGTCGTCTTTTCACCATTTTCCTTTTCCTTCTCCTTGTCCTTATCTTTATCGGCTGTTGTGGCAACCGTCTTCTTTGCCCACGGCACCGAGGGCTTTGCATTGGCGCTCGAATCCTCTTTCACCCATGGCGGCCGAAAAGTGGTGCGTCCAGTGGTGCTGGTGGTAGTGCTCTTGGGCGCAACAAATGGCATTGTGTCGTTCGGTTCGGCTGATTCACGTTTCCAGATTTACGAAAGTTTTCAAAGTGTTAGAAAAAATTTAAAGAACTCTAGAACATCGCTATCAAAGCGCAACGGCAACACTAATGACGAAACTGCTGTCAAGTATTACACCAATATCGTTATGTATCTACTTTTCAATCACTATAAACGCTTTAAACTATACAGAGAAAACAAAGCAAACTATTAAATTGTTTTTATAAAACGTTACTCAACACAGTTCAATTTGAATTAATTAATATAAACTTTTTAAAATTTATAATTATTCGACGAATTCGTTAATGTCCTCGATTTGTGCGGAATTATTTCGAAACGACCAATTTTTGCGCGTACTCGTCCCGTCGAAGCGCAACAGCTGTTTGAGAAATTTMACTTGCTTCAGAAAATAGCTCGTTCTTGTGTGTATCCACTCATCCACATTTCGTCGGACTTCAAAAATACATTTGCCAAGCAGCGCAAAAATATATAGGCTAGCAGGAATACAGCGCTACTTGTAGTACACAATGCGATGTGTGGAAAGTGCGGCCACCGATTTGCTGTTGGCGGTGGTGATTTTCGTCTTTAAAAATAGGCTAACAATGCTAGCATTGCTGAGCCTACTCGGTGAGGGGCTTTGGCGGCAAGGGGGCTGCTGAAGCACACTTGTATATGTATGTGTCTTAGACTTAGTTGCATTTGTTGTTCTTCTCGTGTTCAACAATATTTGTGTAGMGGCGACGTCATTTTTGTGTGATTTTAGAAATTTAAAATAATGAGTAACGGCCGCAGAAAGGGATGTTCGATAATGTAGTACTAATTAAGCGCAATAATCACTTATACGAATGGTTGGGCGTAATCAGATCAATATTACTGAGCGTTTCAGTCGAAAGGCATCGTCACTTTTAATGTAATTAAAAAAACAAATAAAGGAAAATGAAAAGAAAATAAATAAACCAAAATGAAAAATAAAATAATTAAAAAAAAAAGTTTGTTGTTGTTGTATCTGTATAATTATATTATTACTTTTTGGCCTTCAGTCCGTTCAGTTCATTTTGGTACGCAAGATTGCTTTCATTTACGAACAGCTGGTCAATATCTCAGCCAGCAAACGCTTTCTGGCATTGCGTATAACTGTAAATATGCTCACATATACTCATACGTATGTATGTATGTATATACAAAACATTTCACTTCGGTGCTGCCGAAGCTATACTCTTCTCAAATATAAAAATTTCTTGACTTTCTTGATTTTGATAGGTCAGTTTGTATGGCAGCTATATGCTATAGTGACTCGATCTGAATAATWTCTTCGGAAATTACAACAGTGCTTAAGACAATAACGCATGCCAAATTTTGTGCAGATATCTCGTTAAATTAAAAAGCTTTCCATATAAGCACTTGATTTCGAGCGTTCAGTTTGTATGGCAGCTATRTGCTATAGTRACTCGATCTGAATAATTTCTTCGGATATTGTACCACTTCTTTAGACAATACTCCATGCAGAATTTTGTGACGATATCTCGTTAAATTAAAAAGTTTTCCATATAAGCACTTGATTTCGAGCGTTCAGTTTTGTATTACAAACTTTCTGGCAAGCTCAWTATACCGTCTGCAGGGTATAAAAAGCGCATTTACGAAAAAAGTATTTAAATCTGAAAATATATTTGTACATAAGTAAGCGCATACATACAYATGTATGTATGTACTTATACATTTATGCATAATTTGATTAAATGGTCAACATTTTCCGCCAAAATTGTAGTGTAAAGTCAGCAGAAGCTTAAAAAGGTTGAAAAGGTTAAGCGTTTGCTTTGCACTTCAGCGGAGACCATCCTCGCTCGCCACTCGTCGCCCAGTCTTTTGCTACCCCACCTTGAGCAAAGGCCAAATGCACAGTTGCCCAGGTTGTTGTTGTTGTTGGTGTTGTCGGCGATGCTAATTGTGGTTGTTGAATGTGCGCTGCCATTTTTCCAACACTTTTCCACACATTTTCAGGCATTTCTTCATTTGCTGTATTTTAACGAACTTCTATTTCTGTTTCGCTTTCAATTCTACGCGGCTGTTGCTTCGTCGCCCGCCTTGCGCCTTACGAAAATTATTTTTTWAATTTATTTTTTATTTTGTGTGAAAATATGCTCGCTTTTGGTTTATCTCAATCGTTTGCTTTTGCGCTTTCTTCTTCTCATAAACACGAACACAAATACACACACATTTTATTTACTCGAACGTAGTCATACAAACACAAGATTTTGCCTGTGTATTTTCAGTGTATTTACATATTATTTGTGTAAATTTATGAGAATGATCGCACAAAGCGGAGTAGCAAGTAGCTTTTAATTATATTCCGTTATTTTTGTTATTTCTCGAATATGTATAAAAATAAAACCMTGTGGGGGCGTTGCTGTCGAAAAGGAAAAGCAAAAAGCAAAGAAAAAAAAAACCTGTTCGATTGTGAAAATGCTGCGAAAGCAAATTGTKTTTTCGTCTTGTTGGCTTCCTCTTCGTTTTCGAAAATTTAATTCGTTCTTGCTTTATCCCGCTTTCCACTTTCCCTCGTATCTATCTATCTGTCTTATTAATTTTCTAGCTTTTTTACGATTTGCATTTCTGCGTTGCCGTTCGTCATTCACTGCGCTCGCCCCGCCGATTCCACTGAACCACTCGCTTGTTGAAATCTATGCAAATTTGATGGGTCATTAATTTGAATCGCTGTGCAAAGTTGCATTTGGAAATACRTAAACTTGCAATATCTGCAGCGCCGCTCTTATTGCACTTTTCAATTATACTAAATGGCGAACGATTTTGCCATAGCCATCGCCATCGCAATCATCGCTATATTTAAACGTTTCGTGGGAATTTCTGCCACGTATTCGTTCAAAAATATTTGAATAATCCAAGTTATATGTATGTACTATCTGTGGCATAACTTTTGASCTGTTGCGCTAAGAAGGGACGAACTTTGTAAACCGACCTCAAAATATAATTATCGTTTCGAGTTTTTATTTAATGTGTAGCTAGTGTATCAAGAAGAAGAAGTAGCTAGTTTCAATATTTTTTTGTTTTTGAAATKTCGTAATTTTCCAGTTTATATGCACTTCCACCAACAAGTTTGTAAATTTTCTATTTTCAAACTGAGCAATTTTTTTTTTGGTTTGCAACCTAAAAAATTAAGCACAATCACTTCAGTATTTTCCGGTACACAGCTGGCCAGCGCTTCCGTAGAACTGAAAATTGTGGATTTTCGAATCTGTAATGCTGCGCCTAAATTTTTCAAAAGCATRTGCGAATGAGTGAGTGTAATATATAGAAACTTATTCCAATTTGCTCAACCGCACAGCATATATTTGCTTATATTGAGATAATTTCAAAATTAGCTTGCTTGCTATTTTTGAAAAACCTCCTTTTGACTCATGAGATATTAAGCGAAATAAGTTTAATATTGAGATTTTCTAATCACGGTTAAAATAAGTATTTTTCATTATATTTCACACTGTAATAAACTTATGCYAACGATTTTTCTAGTCCTCGAAACACTTTTCATAAGCACTTTTTGCGATGGTTTTCTGCTCCTTCAGCGAATTTTGTTTTGTCTCTTCGATCGATTAAAAACGGGTTCCACGGAGCGGCAATTTCAGTTTCTGGAACAAGAAAAAATCACACAGAGCCAAATCTGGTGAATGCAGATGAAAATCAACCGACTCGCGAGATGTGTCTATCTTTCAATTGAAGAGGTTGAAGGTCGTCCAGAACGAGGCATGTCTACAACGACCTCTAGACCGTCTTTAAAGGTTTTCTACCATTCGTATCCATGTGTTTTGATAAAACTGAATCACGTTCCAACATTCGCAATTATTCAGCACACGAAATTTGGTTAGAAATACAAAATTTTAGACAAAACCTTTTTATCCATTTGGGGCATTCACAACCTGTCTTAAAGCATCGTAAAGTCGTAAAATTTTAAATTTTTACACTTGTTTAAATAAAAATTAGGGTTTTCACATGTCTCCTAAAGTTGTAAGTTATAACGATTAGAAAACATAGTATTGAGAATTGTAAATGTGTAAACTCATTTTTTTTTTAAACAAGTGTAAAAATTTAAAATTTTACGACTTTACGATGCTTTAAGACAGGTTGTGAATACCCCAATTGCAAAAATCGCAACGCACTACCGACTTAAGCAGTTGCTGTAAACAAATTGGCTGACAGATCGCTCTCATATATGGCATAATAATTAGCGACTGTCGTACCAACTCCAATGTACAAATACCATATCTAAACGACTAGCGCGACGAGCTGGGACCATTTAGCTATGTCTGTATGTCCGTCCATCTGTTATCGATCTGGAATTTTGCAGATCTTTTCTTCCAAAAAAATTGCATATTTGTCAAAACTGCCGAACAAATTATGCAGATCAAACTAGTAGAGGTATTTTTTTTNAAAAAAAAAAAAAAAAAAAAAAAAAAAAAAAAAAAAAGGTTTTCATCAAGCAAATAAGTTACGGAAGGTACTATTAAGAGGCTAATGGGGGCCCTATTTCTAATATATATATTTTCTAATACAAAAAAATTAGATAATTTATATAAACTTTCCATTGTTCCCTAATAAATATTTTACGAATATTTTGTGAAAACTTCAAAGGAAACTATTCAAAACTCGGCATTTACGTGCCTCTGCGTTGTCAGCAGAACTTGTTACAGGACAAAATGAAAAAAATACGTGTTTTCATTTTGACCATAAACAAGGTACTGAATGAAGAAAAAAAGCTCAAAACTTGCGGACATTTTTCTAAAAGAAAAATTTAAATTTTTGCAGTTTTTTTTTTTTTTTGGTTTTTAGTTCAGGGCCTTCCAAGTTATATCTCTAAGACCTGTGTAAAATTTCATCAAGATCGGTTGAGTAGTGCGCGAGCAATTTTGACAACCGATTTCGAAGTTTCGACGCGTCTCAAGTTTTAAGTGTCTGTATATTTAGCTGACTTCGAGCGCGCACCTTTTCAAGGCTGCACCTCTAAAACTATTACTCTGATCAACTTGAGAATTTAGCACAATATTCTAGAGGTGCTGTAGAATTTTATAATATATGACCTGTCTCTTATACACATCTAGAAACTCCAATGTACAAATACCATATCTAAACGACTAGCGTGACAAGCAGGGACCATTATCTATGTCTGTATGTCCGTCCATCTGTTATCGATATGGAATTTTGCAGATCTTTTCTTCCAAAAAAATTGCATATTTGTCAAAACTGCCGAACAAATTATGCAGATCAAACTAGTAGAGGTATTTTTTTTAATAGACTTCCGAAAAACGTTTAGAAATTGTTTAACTTTATTACGAAAATTTGCGTTCACTGAAGAATGTGTCTCACAAGCTTCGCTTAACTTTTCATCTTTCTAATCGTCTTTCATTATTATATAATATTCAACCGAATACACCACGTCCAGAATAGTGAAGAAAATAAAGCAGTTGTAGCTGAGTATGTACGCGAGGACCATGGAGAGTCGATTCGACGCCGTGCGCAGAAACTCGGCTGATGTATGGAACGATTTGGCGCATTTTACGTCCAGATYTCAAATCGAAAGCATATAAAGTACAGCTTGTGCAAGAACCGAAGCCACATCGCTTCGCTCTATGGGCAAAGTTCTTATTTTATTTTATTATTAAATTTTATTCAGCGATGAGGCCCATTTCTGGTTGAATGGGTATATAAACAAGCCAGCGGTGGAACCAAACGTTTTACGAACCTTGTTGTAGCTAAGAAGATAATAGCGCTTTTTACGAACAATTTTAATATACAAGTATAAGGAGAAAAGTAGCAGAATAGTTAAAAAAAAAGTTAAAAAGAAATAAGTTCTTAAGTCTTACAAAGTTCAGAAAGTTCCAGACAGGCATTCTGAAAAGAACATAACCCAGCAAAAGTTCGAGTCAAACGTTGAATTTTTTTATTTTTATTGCATTATGGGTGATGAGATGTATGTGCTTGGAGACTTTCCAGSTGTGGATCTTTATGTTGCAGGTCATAGAGGGAATGTTCAAGAGGAGTTTAAACAGACAAAAAAATATGAACTTTCCAAAGAAATGTTAGGTGTGGCAAACAATGTGTAGCTGTGGTAAAAGAAGAAGCCCTTATGTGATAACTGGAACTATCAACACTGATTTATACATCGGARAGTGCTTGCAAAAACCGTTTTTGCCATTCATAAAACGGCATAAGGTATCCACATTTTTTTTCCCTACTTGGTATCATGCCATTATAGCAAATCGGCCGTTGAGTGGTATGAGAAGATCAATGTAAATAGTTTTTGTGCCGASATATGCAAATTAACCTAATTGTCCGGAGCTTAGAGCCATCAAG